ATTATAGTTTTCCTCTGTGGCATCATCGGGACGGAAATTCATTCTCTCTCGCGATCTCATCGACGAAAAGGGTAACACCTCACGACCAGTGAATATTACGCGTCCGACTTAGATTTTGTGAGCACGTTCATCTATCATCCCGTCGACCGCGGATTCGTTATTGAACCTAGGATCATTGTCATTAGTTTCTCGAGTATCTAATTACCACGGTTACTTGTCCAGTTCTATGATAATCGTATTTGCACTAGTCGATGTCTTCTCTATTGCATAACGACAACGTGTAATCCAAACGAAGATTCGTTTCACGCTCCTAACCCTAATTCTAATGTAAACCCGACATATATGTTAATTAGATGAGTGATCAGAAGTAGATGTAGAGAATGAAGAGATGTTGACTGAATTAAAGAAGTGAACCCAGTGTAGAGATGTTGACTGATCTGTAGTCGTTGGACCAATGAATTTCGATGACGATGCTGTCGCAGAGAAAAACTCTTACTGGGTGTTGGTCGCCCCACCACCGGATGGAAATCCCGGGAAAAATGGGGAAAAACAACGTTTCCCCACGTTTTACTTGATGGAGCAATAACCATAAGGAACCTCTTGACTCGAAGGTGTTTTGTACTACTTAACGGCCTTAACGGTCAAATCGAAATACTTAGTTTTACGACAGTTCCTTATGATTATTAAGGTTCAACTAATGATATTGACGTAGCGAGTGGCCGCTTCGACTGAGGGATGGATTCCGGGCTACGCAAAGAGTCACCGGACGTAACAAATATTATCGATCGGTGGTTAAGTGAGAAAATCATACCGTTACCAAATCTACTAGCACTATAAAAAGTTCGAAGTTGAAGGTCTTATGTAACTCCGGTTGAAGATTACCAGTAACGGCAATAATATCTTGTCCGAAGTTCATTTGCCTATAGATTTTGTAAACAAAAAAAAACGTTGATATTCCAAGGCACAATGAGTCTCTCCCGTTTCAAATCTTCCATTGATTTATGTGCCGCTACTGACCGCAACTGACAAGCAGTAGTGTTACGCCACGAGGCTTACCACAGGCTGTATTTTCTAACCGTCGCTCGCGGTCCTATAGTGTCGCAGGCAGATCGTCTTATCTGCCCGCCGGATCATATACAATGTATCAACGAGCGCATAGTTGTCGCCAAGCAGCGAGCTCTAGAAACGTCGATTTTTGTCCGTTACGTTTTTTCACACGAGAATAGGCATACGTGATCATAGGCGCGAGCGGTGGCGTAACCCGAGCATAGTGGGGGTCGTCTTCCAAACAAGACAAAGAAATGATCGAAGGGCAATCAGTCCCTCCTGACGAGTCAAACGTTACACATCGAGAAGTCTGACGAGCAAAATCAAATAGTCTAACGAATTCATTTAGAGATATCGTAAAGTCGAGTCAACTTTCTGTAATATATTCATCATATTATTGTCAAATATATTATTTTATGTTAACCTGTTAATACAGTGTTACATTCATTGAACCACCTCTGTTATCTTAATCGGAACAGGGGAATGACTATTTTGGAGTTCGGTTCAGGGCGCGATGGGGAGCGGACGTGTTGACGGGTTGCTCCCGCTAGTCGAGTGTATGTACGAGGACGTAGTTTGGCGTGATTCGTATAGGGCGTAAGGGGTCAATGAGGCGGGAAAGGTAGTGTAATAATAATTGTAAGGAGTAGTGAAATGAAATGAGGGGTATACGTGGACTGAGGTGGCAGGAGAATGTATGAGAGTATGATAGTATCGGGAGATGCGGGGGAGAGTGAGTGAATGTGTGGAAATGGAAATGGAAATAGAGTTGGCATGTATGATGATTGAGGGGGTGAGCAACAAGACGTTTGCGCGTAATGGGGTGATAATATCCTCACTGAACAAGAAAAAGTAAGTGGAGGATAGGAAGTGTGCGAGAAACGAAAAGTACGGTAGTAATCGTTAATTTGAATTTATCCGGTATTAGCGACCTCGGATAAAGTCAAATAAACATCTACACAAGACCCCATCGACTATAATGGCAGATTCACGCGTCACGGTAATTAGTCGTTTATATACATACGCGTTAGAGGATAACTGCAAATAAATAAATAATATGAGCATGTACGGTCGACTCGAAGTAAGTTCCTATTTTTAAGGAATAAAGTCGGGCCGGCCAGGGTTCTTATACTTATAATATTTATTTGGCCATTTATTTATTGTGACACGAGCCGAACTAAGTGCCTTGGAATAAATAAATAAGTAATGGGGTGCCGAGTAATGGGGCGGCTGTAGAAGTTACGTGGTGATTAGTAGGTTGGGGTATGTAGCGGTTGGATGTATGCACCGCTATAATGTTATAATATTTTATTATTTTATTTATTCTTTTAGTTTATGATATTTATTTATTTATAGTTTTGTATTGATTAACTAGTAATTGTTTTATTCGATTTATTTATTTATTATTTAATATTTATTATTTAAATTATTTATTTATTTATTAATTTATGGCACTGGTCAGTGGAGTGTGTACCTGCACATTTAACGCAGCGGAAGGTATTTCTGCGTATGACCATACCTTTGGCACCTTTTGCATTGAACTATCTCTTTTTTAACAAGCGGTGGTTCGAATTTTACTATTGCGTTCATTAGGCGACTGATGTTGTAAATTTCCTTATTGTTAGGTTTTTGCTTTATGTCGATAAAAAATAAGGATAACGGGTCTTTCGAGACTCTATTGGCGATGTTTATGGACTTGCTTTTTACATACAATATGGACAGACGGTCTAAGGTTAACAAACGTACGACGCAGGGGGTTTCGGAGCCCCCAGGCCCCGTCGGGAATACGAGTGGCTTACCATGCTCGACCCGACGGTTATTATGTTACTGGAAGAACGGCGGGAGGGGAGGTGGAACCCCAAGCATCCCTTTGTGCGGTAATAGCTACTGGGGAAAAGGAAAAGGAAAAGGAGGAGGGCAAGCTAAAGAAGACGACAGCGGGAGGAGAGAAGCCGAGGATGGCGTCTGACGTGAAGCCGAATGAGAATGTGATAATCTCGGTTATTCCGAGGAAGGATGGGGGGAGGGTGAGAATTTCTGCCCCTTTAAACCGAGTAAGAGACTTCAGAGGAGCCCTATGATTAGTGAAAGGACGGAGGTTGGAGTGGCTGAGGAATCGGAGGGTTCCTTTGGAACTAGAGGGAGCGACCACAGTACGCCGGTAGCAGGGAAAAAGGGCTGGCCTACGCTAGACGATACGCAGATTAGCGATGCTGATGACGAGGATCTTCTGATCTCCAGGGCTGAGTTGAAGGGGCTCACACAAGCCATGACAGGGATGGTTAAAATGTTCAACATGGTGTTGAAGAGGCTAAAGTTGGACAAAGAGAAGGATGAAGGAATAAGGGAGTTAGGCAACATGATGAAAGGTATCCTGTCTACCCTGGAGCAGTGTGGGGAACACAAGGAGAGAAGAAGAAGGAGAAGGAGAGAGCCTGCCGAGGTTGTGAAAAGGGCAGACAGGGCAGAGTTGGAGAGGGAAGTGACGATAGCCAAGGACGGATATTCAAAAAGAAAGGTAGTATCGCCGGCTGAAGGTATGAGAGTTGAAGGGTATAAGAGACCCTGAAGAGGAGAGGGCACATACGCTGAGTCGTGTAGAAGGGAGAATAGAGTGATAAGGGGTGATTACAGCGAGGATTCCGAAGGATGGGTGAGGGTAAAAAAAGGAGGAGGGAGAGGAGAGCTCCCTTAGAGCAAGCTACCCCGATGGTGCGCCTGGGAAGCAACCGGCGGGTTGGTACTGAAGAGAGGGGCGTACCAAGAAACAGGAGGAGGAAGGAAGCCATACTAATTAAGGTGGAGGAAGGTTGTGAGTGGCTTCAGGTGTATAAGAGGATAATGGCGGTGAGGAGTTCATTGGAGGGAGCCATGGGGGTCTGTAGGACGAGAGCGGACCATATCCTGATTGAATTCGACAGGATGGTGGTGGTCAGCGAGGCGGCGGCTAAATTGAGAGCCGACTTGAGTGATAGTATGGAGGTGGCCGCTCTGGTGAACAGGGCGACTCTACAAATAAGGAACATCGACCCCCTCACCAGCAGAGACGAGCTGGTGGAAGAAATCAGGTCGCAGTGGGGAATGGAGGAGAGTGGGGAGGTGGAAATTAAATCTATAAAGGCGGCACTATGGAGCACACAAGGGGCTGTAGTGGTCCTCCCAGTTAGTGGAGTGTCTAGTGGCGAGAGAGAAAGGAGACTGAGAACTGGGCTAACGATAGCCTCCGTTAGGCAGTTAGCTAATGTTCGGCGCTGTTACAGGTGTTCTGTTCAGAGAGTTGTGTAGGAGGTGCGGCAGCGCTGAGCATAGTATGAAGGATTGTGATAGAGAGCCGAGATGCGCCATGTGTCTGAAACATGGTAGTATAAATGCAAGACACGTAACGGGGTCGTTGGCGTGCCCTATGGTGCGCTTAGGTAGTAGGAATAGATGGGGGCCCAATTAGAGTCTTACAAATAAACCTGAACAGGTGCAGGCTTGCGCAAGACCTGATGATGCAGTGCGTATGTGAAAGCAGGGTGGACATAGTAACCATCTCCGAGCCCAATAGGCAGTTGCCTTATTGGCTTAATGACGAGGGTGGGGATGCATCGGTATGGGTCACCCTGTTTAATGGAAAACATGCGGCGAGCGAGACCCTGATAAGAAATGTAGGGATTGTAGGGGTCAGGGTTGGTGATGTGTTTTGCGTCAGTGGGTATTGTTCCCCCAATAAGGGCAGGGACCAGTTCAACGATTATTTGAAGGAACTGGAAGGGGTCATAAAGGAGGAGAGGAAAAGAGCACCGGCGATTATGGTTGCCGGTGACTTTAATGCGAAATCATCGGTGTGGGGGGCTCTAAGATGGAACGAGGGGAACATGCCCACTCGATGTTATGACGAGGAATGAGCTTATACCTATTAGGACGACGCTACTCCTTCCTGAGAAATAGAGGGACTAGCTTCCCGGATATAATTAGCGTCAATAGACGAATGAGGCTAAGTTGGAGGGCGAGTAGGGTCCTAGATTGATAGGATATAGGGTCCTGACAGTGCTCAACGGAATAAATACCGGTGGAAAAATACCGGCGGTATGGAAAGAGGTGGTATTAATACCCAAGCCTGGCAAAGAACCTGGGACGTCATCGGCGTATAGGCCGATTAGCATACTGCCGGCGCTGAACAAGGTGTGGGAGCACACGCTGAAAATGCTCATAGAGAGGAGCATTGTTCAGGATCCCTTCCATAGGGATCAGTATGGCTTCAGAAGAAAGAGGAGGACTCTTGAAGCCCTGGATAGGACGGTCGCAGTTGCTGAAGAGTGTAGAAGGAAGGGCCTGGTGTGTGTTCTGGTCGCCCTTGATCTGAAGAACGCCTTTAACGCTCTAAGGAGGGAGAGGATAATGGAGGAGATTCGAAGGAGACGGCTACCGGGACAGCTACAGGAGTTGTTAGCGGACTATCTGGCTGAGACGAGAATATTGGTACACTGTCAGGACGGTGTCGTAAGGAGGAACGTCTACGCAGGGATCCCGCAGGGGTCGGTCTTAGGACCTTTACTGTGGAATCTAGTGTATGACGGGGTGCTGGCGGCGCTGGACCGGGAGAAGGATACCGAAGCAGTAGCGTTCGCCGACGAACTGGCGGTTCTACTCGAGGTTAGAGGGTCCCACGACTTTAATGAAAGGATAAAGGCGGTCATAGCTTTGGCCACCAGGTGGTGCTGCGAGGCTGGATTGCATCTGGCCAGGGAGAAGACGGAGGTTATCCTCTTAACAAGGAAGAGGATTCCGAAGATTTTTAATGTTGACGTGGGGGATGGGAGGGGGAGGTTTCCACCAGCCGTGTTGTGAAGTACCTAGGGGTAGTGTTGGATAGTGCTAGGGGATTCTCCCTCCACCTCAAAGCAGTTTATGATAAAGCAGAACGGTTCTTGAGCGCCATACGGAGCGTACTCCCAAACGTCGGTGGGCTCAACGATTTAGTCAGGAGGCTGTATTATGGGGTCTGGGAGTCTGTGGTATTATATGGTACACCGATATGGGCCTCCTCTCTGCGAAGAGAAACAAATAGGACGATCATGAGAAGGGCGCAAAGAGCAGCGTTGATCCGTACGTCTACCGCCTACCGTACGGTATCACATGGGGCTTTGTGTGTGCTTACTGGTAGCATGCTGATTTACATCAAGCCATGGTTGCGGTGGAAACAGTATGGAGTGAAGAGGCGGATCAAGGAGGGCCCTGAAAAAGCGGCACATGCTGGGCAGGAAGAAATGAAGGTTTTGGAGATGGAGGCAGAGGACAGGTGGAGATTGGAGTGAGCGCTCCAATTAGACTAGGAGACTCGTAGAAGATCCGCTGATCTTCTATAAAATAAGGAGGAGGATCAACTACCATATGATGCAGGTCCTTACGGGACACGGTATCTTTAACCGTTACCGTCATAGGATCGGCAAAGAGTCGCACACCAGCTGTTAGGATTGTGGTGCGGTGATGGATGACGCCGAGCATGTGCTAGTTTGGTGCCCTAGATGGACGGAGGAGAGAACGGAGTTGGAGGTCGAGATCGGTGAAGATTTTAAATTGGAGAACCGAGTCGTTGAGAAGATGGTAGCAGAGGAGCGGTTGTGGAACAGGTTTCATGACTTTTGTACTTTCATGACTTTTTGAAATGCCGGCTTTCTAAGGAAAGGGAGGTGGAGGACAGGAGAAGAAGGGAAGGAAGGAGGAGAAGAATGACCGGAGTCGAGGAGGGAGGATAAAGGATTAGGTACGTGGTGTAGAGGCCAACCTGAAGTAATGTCGAATGACCGTACCGGGTTGGTGCCTCGAGTACCATAGCAGAGGGAGAATGAGGAGGGGTTTTTAGTGGGTATGGCGATGTCATCTGCCGAGTCCTACATAACCCGGAGACGCGGGTCTTTGGGTATGCGTAAAAGCATTTTCCCCTCCTCGCTACAAAAAAGGGGGGGACGACTCTTTCGCGGCGTCGATTAACAGAATCGTAGCGAGAATTTACGCCTCTCGCTGACGCGTTTCCTAACGACCGCGTTTCTCCGCGAACGGTCGTAACAAGTAGTGTTGATATAGAGCCATCCGACTGATGAGCGGTGCACGCAGCACAATAAGGAATGCATAATGCGCATTGAATTGTCTACAATACATATCTCAAATAGAAGCAGAGATGTTTCGATTTGAGCATTTCAACGCAAATTAGCACAATTGCTGCTGAATACCAACTGACGAGGGCTAGTGTTAATATAGGGTAAATCGATACATGTGCAATGTATGCGGGACCAGAAGGGAAGTACAACGCGCAGCAAAGTATCTATATATCTCAAATAGCAGCGAAAATACGTTAATTTGAATATTTCAGCCTGAATATTCGCTGAATGCGGCAGTAAATGAGGTGTATAACGCGCATCGAAATGCCTACATATCTCCAACAGCAGCGGAGATACGTTTATTTAAATATTTCAGCTTCAATATGTAAAACTGCAAGTTCATAAGATTTGACGAGGCCCAGTGTTAATATAGATTAAACCCCTTGATGTGCGCTGTATGCGCCACAAGAATATGAGTGCGGCGCGCATCGAAGTGTTTACATATCTCAAATTGCAGCGGACATTCGTTGATTTAAATAATTCAACACCAATCTAGTGAACTGTTGTTGTGAACTGGCAAGGACTAGGATGCATAAAGAGTAAACCGATTATTGTGCGTTGTATGAGGTATCAAAAGGGGTGTATAACTCGTTTGCAAAACTGCAATTACTTCGGATTTGACGGGGGCTATTGTTGATATAGGGTAGACTGACTGGTGTGACATGTTTGTAGCACCAACTATGGAGCATAGAGCGTATCGAAGTGTCTATATCTCTCAAATAGTTGCGGAGATACGTTGATTTAAATATTTCAGCTTTAATATGCAAAACTGGAATAACATCAGCTGAGGAGTATAACGCGCATCCAAGTACCTACATATCTTCAATAGCACTGGAGATACGTTGATTTGAATATTTCAGTCACAATATGTAAAACTGCAATTGCATCGTAACTGACTAGCACTAGTGTTGATATAGGGTAAATAGACTGATGTGCGGTGTGTGCGCCACCAAATGAAGAATACAAGACGCCATTTTATACTGATAAATACTTTTATATAACGCATTATTTTATATTCCTTAATAATTATCACATAGATGTGTAATTACAATCTTTAGACTCATCCTTCTTCGCCCGATGTGTCTGTATCAGATATATCGTCTTTGTTTGTATTCGGCGATGTTTCTTTCAATTTTAAATTTGGCGAGTCCCTCGAACGAGTTAAGCTTCGTTCGGTTTTCGGCATACCGTCTGGTGTATTTTTCTTAGTAGTTTTCACGATCCGTTTCCATTGAATACCTTTCTTTCTACCTGTCCCCATTGATTTATGTCTTCTTACAAGAAACTTGGGGCTTCTATTTTTCGGCATCGTTGCTTTCGACGGGATTGACAAAGGTGTTTCTGGCAGCGTTAAATAAGAAGTACCGTAATGTTGGCACTGTAACTGGCATGTATCTGAATGAGGACTGTCACTTGGGTTTATAACAGTATCGTCTGATGGATGTATACTTTCGAAGTCGTATTGCCCTTCCTCTTCCGGGGAATGTTCCGAACCACCAACATTAAACGAATATGGTAGTGCAATTTTTGGACTATAATCTCTCCATGGATTTAGATTATCCATGTAAACGGAAGGTGTGTCTATGATTTGTCTCGAGGGTATTGATAAATTGGACGTACTCGGCCAAGGTTGTATAACCAACTTAGGACTTTTTGTTAATGTGAAAAATGGCTTTCGACTTGAATCAATTCGTGGCAACGAATACTTTCCTAAAGATGAAAATTTCTTTATAGTGTCTGCTATATTTTTCGCTTTTTGTTCTATTTGGTCGGCGTGGACCGATGGTTCCTGAATATCAAACTGTAAAATTGTCTCAGGACAAGTTTGATCAATTTTCGTAGGTGTTTCAGGGCGCGGGCTGATCTGGCTGAAACAAACGAGTTTAACTTAACAAAACATCATTTCATTAACTACGTTTTCACACGATTTCGCAATACAAATTATTGTATTATATATTCGTTCCTGGAATTTGATTTTTAAGATTCCTTTGTTATACATGTTGAAATTGGTATGCATATAATTTCATTGAATTTTAGTTTTAATTAAGAATTCTTAAATTATTTAATAAAAACAATTGCTTGAATAATATTTAAAAAGAATATGGAGAATAATTAAAGAAATTACGCGAATACATTATACATTATAATCTTACCGCCTTTCACACGGTGGGCTGTCATTAGGATGAGTAGCTAAACTCATCGTTGATGTGTGATGTGACGGTTTTACGTCCTCTTCGTCCTCTTCTATAACATCTGGTAGAAACATAGTTTGCTTTTCCTCGGGAACGCTAAACGTCAAAAGATGAACATCAATTTTGAAAGTACCTCCTGCCATAATAATTTCCATACATTAATTAAAACCTTTTAAGGATACTAACGTCATGTGTGCCACACTACCGCGATAAGTTTTCTTTTTGTAAGCAGCCGCTGCTTCAGTATATGGTAAAATTAGATTTTCAGCGTCATAGTAAATATCTTTGACCAATGGTGGACAACGATTCATAAGGGTATCTACTCCAAGGTATGATACCTGATATATAAAATAAATGGGGAAACTAAAACTGTACGATTCGAAAATATTTCAGAAGATATTTGTAAAATAAATCTTAGACATCGATATATAAAGAAGCTTAATTACTTTTGTATGGCGATCAATTATCCAATTCAATTCGAAATCTTCGTCGTCATCGCCAAAAGGATTAATTAATTGTTCCGCTACCTATCGAAGTATAATTATTGTTTTGACAATTTGTTATCTTTCTCGTTATAGGAAAAGTTGTATGTACCTTTAACAAGCCCATGAAAAAGAAAAATTGTAGCAGAGTAAAAACAGGTATGTAAATGTCAATCTGCAGCTGGAATTGTTTTTCTTTACCATCGATGTACTGACGAGCTATTAAAGCCACGGCAAAGAAACTGTACGTCGCCAATGTCACTACTTGCGTGTAAACTAACGGAATTGATATCCAATCGTAGCTCCATAAAAGGCCACATTTTGTACGAAATTCGCTGAATTCCTGTAACGATTATTATCTTTTACTAGCATGGTAACAAATTAGATTTTTCGAAATATTTGATTCGTTGATACGAGTTGTATCAAGTAAATTGTAAATTCCTTTTGCAATCGCAACTTGATGCTGCGACATGATATCATACCTCCATAATTAATTTTAATCCCTGAGGATCGGGAATTCTGTGATTATGACGCGCTTCTTTTAGAAGGTTGATAAACCATGTGCAAGGGATCCAATAAGTGTTGAATTCTAAGCTTGGTACTGCCAAAAATAAATCCAATTCAAACGCTGTCATAAAACCTGCAATCAGATGTTTATTGTATTATTCGTATAATATCCATTGTATTAATATCATCATTGATACTAAAAGCCGATTTTATTTGAAAGAACTGCTGTAATTTACTGGACTCCTACATATTAACAAGAAATATATTATTTCCAAACATCGTGTAATATTATAACCTTCTATGGAAATAATTTTTAAATAATTGCAAAAAAATGCACATGTATGTATATGGTATATACAAATAACCGAAAAACGGATTCACCTTTGTTAGAATAAGTTTTTAATCCAAATTCAATGATTATGATTTTTACTGCCGTTCGTAAAGATTTTCTGTTATCAATTTTCGTAATTCCATTTCATCATGATTTGTGCCTTGTTAGTCTTTCTTCGAAGTGAGTAACGTATATAATACGCTTTCGTGGGAATGCATACTACGGGTTAAAATTAGTACGTTCACGTTGAAAGAAAACTTTACCAGAATCAACGACGTGATCGAGCGTTGGGAATCGTTTTTTCACCGCCGAACTGATCGAACGTAAAACAAGTATCAGGGAAAGGTTCAAGTAGCGCATCAGAGCTCTTCGAAGTGTACGAGCGTATTCGTCGTTTCCAGTAACATACAAAGCAATTAAATGCATTACCCTATTAATAACAGTTATCGATATTAAACGTTTCATTGTTCCATTGAATATTTATTCTCCAGACTTACTTATCGGGCCAAGGTATCGCTTGATATTGTTGCCACCATCTTTGAGCAACGTAAGATACGTAGAATCCAAGAACGAAACTTAATGGAATTAAATTAATAAAATTATCGCAATAAATGACAATCTTTTCGAATTCTCTAGAAATGAAACGATATATTTAATAATTAATTGTTACATCAATTATTTATTTATTATATATGTGTGTATGTATATCCTATTGTTATACATATATACACGTGCAATTTCTCCCTTAAATATAAAAATTTAACTGTTACAAATATTAATAATATATAAAAGTTATAGAGCATTACATCCGATCGTTATTTAATCGAAATCATATTAATAATTGAATTGCGAACCTTTTCAGTTTGATACTGAGTATGTGACGGTAAACAGTGGAAATTGCTGCAAAGAGTATCAGGAATAAGAGTAATTCTCTATATATGAGCTTATACAGTGATCCTCTCCACATAAAAAGAAGCCTGGTGAATCCACCTCTGGTAGAGTTTGCCACTTGATACTGGTACGAGACTGTCATCCTTCTTTCATTCGCTATTTACCAGTTTCGTAATGGAAGTAAGCTTGTCGTAGCAATAGTAATTTCTTTCTTTTCATTGTTACTTCACTTTCATTAATCTATCAATATAAATTACCAATAATTATCGTAACCATACGATAATTAGCCATACGTTAAATAATCGTATTTAACGTAGTTAATGAATAGGAATAGAATTCGATGAAATTTGTTGAATTATTATTCTTAGATAGGTAAATACCTCAGGCGTTATGGAACAAACGTATAGTGCAGTAAAACATTCTCCTCATATATAATAGTGCTTTTATAATAATTTTTCAATTGATAATCGTTTTACAATCTTTTTTTGGTAGAAGAATTATTGATATGAAATCCATTCTGGATCACTGCGAATAGATACGAAACATGTAGATTAATGTGTAAATAGAATAAATTTCGCTTAACAGAATATTTCATTATATTTTGTAAAAATACGAATTAAAATAAAATTAAAAGCTTTAAATATTTTCTTAACTAAATTGGCAAGTTTAATAATTCTTTTCGATTTAAGAAATTAATATTCGATTATTAATTCTAATGAAACTTCCACTAAACAGAGAATTTTATTAAATACAAGTTTAAATAAGAATTAAAAATATTTAATTTACTTCGCTAAATCTATAACTTTAATAATGCTGTTTGATTTTAATGCAAACTGGATATCGCATAAGGGCGTTTATAGAAGAAAGTGGAAGAAACTGTACAAACGTTGAGAAAGCAAACGGTTTGCTTTATGCACTGTAAATAATGCTGAGTAGTTTTGGCATTTGCGCCAGTATGCAGCGATGCCGTTAAATATAACTTTGGTCATCGGTATAACCGCCATCTGAGTAAATATACAATTTATACAAGCCTTCTCGGTATGCTCGCAATTGTACTCTTAGATTAGGTATTATTTACTGACAAATTGCTAACGGAAGTTGTTCTTGGATTAATTTTGTAAATTACCACCAAGTTTACATAGTATCTCGGGCGTAGATTCTATAAATGGATAAAATTGATGAATGAGAGTAGCAGTAAGAAAGCGAAAGCAGTCGACTTTTTTTTAAATAAATATGACAGTTTACTATGACGACATTTTTATTTTATTAGACGTTTCATTCAATATCAAATTTACTCCAATATTAAGCGACAGTAGAATCATTCAGCTATTTTATTTCAGTTTTGCGGTCTAATTTGATATTTTATTTTATTCTACAATTAGATGTTGATTTCAGTTCATATTTTTTTAAACGCAACTAAAAGACGCAAAACCCAGTCAGAGATTCGTTTCACTTACTAAATATCAGAGTGAATGCATTGTGGATATTTTATACTCAAAATTTTTGTTATCTTAGTTGTTCAAATTTGTTTTGTCATCTACTGAAATAAATCCTCCAGATTTCCATTCCCCGCTTTAAACGCTTTCCCCGTTTCCCTTGAAACACATTTACAAACAACATATATAAGTTTTAGTTTATATTTAGAATAGATCTACGTTATGACCATACTAAATGATAATTAAAAATTAATTTTTATATAATTATCTGTTAATTACATTAACTGTTAAATTAAAAATTTGATGTAGTCTTCTAGTGATTATTTAATAAAAAGAAGAAAAAGAAAAAACAATCAGACCAACTATTCGCGCGTGCGATTTATGAACACCGTTTGTTTAACCGAATTATTTCAGTGGTGAGTCAGTCATCGATATGATAACGAAAACATTTCATTTCGTCTGCAAGTTTTGTGCTGTTTGACACGTGCGCGAAGCGTCAACATTGTGTCTAACAGATTGTCTGACGGTCGCTCGTTGTACCTCGAGGGAGCGGTCTAAAAATATCTATGTTCGAAAGAAGCATGCGACATTGGTCGAACTACCATACGCTTCCGTTAAAATTTTAACGTAATAGATTAAATAATAGATGTAGATTGAAACTAATCTTTAATCGAAATAGATTAAAACTAATCCAAATCTAAATAATAAAACTAATTCGAAGCGGTTTATTCTCTGTAAATTTAATAAAAATCCAAGATACTGCAAAGAAATCTAATCAATGAACTTTACGAAGATAGAACTCGAAAATAAGCATATGACGAAAATATACAAGAGAGCGCAGTGTCGGATGAAACAAGTACCAGAAAGTAGTCGAAGAAAATTTATGGAAAATTGTGAATATGTTAATCGACATAATTCTTGGAACTAACTGTATTATTTAAGCCTGTAAATAAGTATCAATATACAAATTTATCTTTTATATCGTCATAAAAATATGAAATAGCGTTATTCGTTGTAAGAACATTTTTATGACTGACAAACAATTTTATTTTTGCGATAATTAAAGACATAGTATATTATATGTGCTATGTGCAATGTTTAAAGTGCAATGTTAAAATATTAAAAATTACCATTGCGCTTTTACCATTGTCTGCCACTTTACACATAAAGTGCATTACCATTAAATATATCTTACCTTGCACGGGTCCAATGTACGTAAAAGAACGTTCAATCGAAAGCGTTTTGCCAATTGATAAATCGAAATTTATTACACGTTACTTGTGAACACGTCAAACGAAATAAATTCCACGTTTTAATTAAGGTAATTACTACAGAAACTTCAATTCAATTTACCATCGCTGATATGTGGCCATTAATTTTTCCAACTCATGAAAATCAATTTTCAATCTCTCCCTTTAACAAGTAATCGTTTATTAATGTCAATGTTGTGTACTTGTTATGTTATTGCACAAAATGTATTAAACCAACTGTTGCCTGTAACAATCGCATACAGAAAATATAACAGATCTATTTTTCATACTTTAAGCATTTTGGAGTCAAGTTTTGAATTGTATCCATGCACTTATCGTATGAGAAAGGTAAATTCACTTTTTAATCATATCGAACGAATACACTCAACGAACGAGTTCACCGTACATGTGTTATACCGATTTACCAACTGCACACGAGTATTTAATAAGCATTTAAAGTATTGATTTACTTAATTAATGACTTTAAACAATTTTACACCAAAATATATAACATACAATTTAATATTTATATTATAGAGTACGATTTAGTCTATCATGTTATTACTTTGAAGAAAAAAGATCAAAAAGACACTTCTAATATAAACAATACTTGTCCGACTGTTAGATCAAGTATGCATCCAAGGCTAGTAGTTAGCGCTAAACTGATTCGCTAAGAAAATCCGCATCGTCATTGCGAATGTTAACATTGAAGCTAGTCAATTCTGATCCGATGGCAGGTGCCCAAATCTAAAAGGGTCGAATGTCAAGCTCTTAGTATTGCGAATTCGTAACTATCATTGACAAAGTTTATTATAATCCGATATAATCTTTGGTCTTTTGAAAGAAGCAATACTTTAATTAAGGTGCATAAAAGTGTTCCGTCAAATATCGACAATTATTTCAATGGGTTTTATTTTTACTTAAGTCATCACGTTTGAAATGAATTAATCGGCACTTTATATGGATGAAGAGGATAAGGAAGGAAAGGAAGTACGTTTTCACGAGTTCTTTTGGCAGCTCTAGCACACATACATAAGTGGAATAAAATTATTCCTTCCACTGAATTATTAAATTATTTTAATGAATCAATAATTTGCTGTATCGTTGATTAAATACAGAATAGATATTTGTGACATTATGCATTGATTAAATACAGGATTGATCTGATTTGACCTGACACTATGAGGGATTTGGTATATCGCGTTCTGAAATACCGACCTCGAAAAAATCAATCTTTCTCACGTTTTCTGCCATTTATTACGACAAATATAGGAATTATATTCTATTATAGACGGTCTCTATTTTAACGATTGAATTGAAAGATGGACAAAGTACAGAATAGACGTGCAATTCTTTTTTTTCTTATTCCACATTTTGCAAGTTATCCGATATCCTAATGATCGATCTCGTTTCTACTTCGTCTGTATCTCGTCGGTAGCACTATCGACTAAAGACAGGATGGATGTGACATTATCTGAAATACCGACGTCGAAAAGACCAATGCTTCTCTTTCGTCCTCTACAGTTTATTACGTTGCGACGATTGTAATTCATTAGTCTGTTCAAACGTGTTTCATTCCTTCTAACAAAATTTTAGTTAGTAATCGACTAAATAAATTTCTGGTCATTGAATTCATTTATCTGCACGTCCACTATTATTATATTTTTTTTATTTAATATTTCACATTCACAATTTGTCCAATTTGTACATTTGGTAGTATTTTTTAGCTGTTTGATTATCATGTGGGTGGCTACCCCCAATGGGGTACCATCTTCGTGTTTGTTAAGATATATCCTTTATGAGATCTGCTGGGTGTTTCTTTTTTAGTCTTCTTCCTATGCTTGTGTTGAACGTTTCCGCTGCGAGCCGGTTCGGATGTTTGTTAAGATATATCCTTTGTGAGGTCTGCTGGGTGTTCCCTTTTTAGTCTCCTTTCTATGGTTGTGTTGATCGTTCCCGCTGCCAGCCGGTTCGGGTGCGTTGCTATTCTTTCTCTGTACCTTCTTGCGAATCTGCTAATCTCTTCCTTGACCGTTGGTATTCCAAGGTCCTTCCGTATGTCCTCGTTTCTAACGTACCATAGGGCGTTTACTATTGTTCTAAGAATTTTAGCTTGGATTGTCTCTAATTTGCCTATATGGCTCATTGCTGCTGTTCCCCAAAGTGGTATTCCGTACGTCCAAATTGGTTTTATGATCGTTTTGTATATTTTTAGTTTGTTTTCTATGCTTAGTTTGGATTTTCAACTTGTTAACAAATACATTTGTCTCCTTGCTATCTGTATTTTATCTATTATTGATTTAATATGCTGTTTCCATGTGAATCGTGTATCTAAGTGGAGTCCTAGGTATTTGACTTGCCTTGTTTGTATTATGTGCGTGCCGTTCAGT